TTAGATTATAACTTTGAAGACAGACTAAAATTCACCTTGTAAAAGATTTTATATTGTTTGTATAAGGCATTCAGATATTTGTAAAAACTATATCAATGTGTTAAAAGCAATATAGACATGTCAGATTACTATCAACTGTATCATAAAGTAAAATAGTGCTTTCCTTTTGCATCTAAATATAATATTGGTTTTGTTTTACAGCTTCGCTACTATCACGAACATTGATTACATAATCAACGCTGAAGATCGAGAGCATATAATGACGCTCTTACAGCTGTCACACTTTCTCTCCGACCTCCACCCTCTCTCTAAGTCTAACCCTCTGCCCTGACACTATGTTGTTGCTTTTGTTCTCTCCAGCCCAGTCTTCTGCTTGCAAGCGTCCTCCAGCAGGTACTCCGAGTGCAACAACACAGACAATAAACATTGCTACAACTCGTCTCTCCGATCTACTGTTGCAGTGCCTGTACAGAGCCTCAGATTGTATGTTGTGCCACTGAGCTGACTACACCGTCCTTCAATGTAAAGCGGTAAGCATCCAGTCCACTTCATAAAAGACTGTACAATAGTTGCTCATCTCTTCTCTCCCAACTTTTTGTCTCCCTTCCATCCCTTCTGCTCCTCGTCCCACCGCTTGCGTTGCCTCCCCTTCGCTGTCCTCCTTTTTTTACGTTCGTCTCCCTTTTTGAATTCACATTCGCGCATCCGTATTGTTGACCAATGCCGAACGACTTCTCCAATAACTCCATACATTCGTGTACTTCTTCCCACTCTGCAGTGCAAGTAAGAATTGACGAGCACACGCGAGCATACTCGCAACAATGTTCATGTACGACCACTCCTATTGTACCACCCTCTCCCCGACGCTGTACGTGTTCTACTCCTTCGTACATTCCATGTTTGACATTACTCTTGACAGGTTTGCCCCACGCACATTTACATTCCTCAGTGCCGTCCATGACACCATTTCGAATAAGGTAAGCAGTAGCTATCGCTTACCCCTCCCGAGCCGAGTCCGTTCACATCACCCACTTCACCCTCTCCCTTCGAGCCAGAACGTCCCAGAGATACACCTTTGCAACCACACACGACGACTAAGTTCTCTGCTCTGACTACGTCTCGCAATTGAAGGTGCATGTGATGTGCACGTACGGACATGGCTTCGCTTGCTGCTCAAATCAGCTTGTTCAACGCTCTGGATCCCAACCTCGGTGCACCACTTACACTCGCTGCACGCTGTCACGGTGCGTCCACCTTTTCTCTCTTATTTTCACTCGCTAATCACTCTAAACTCGTCTCACAGGCACAGCCTCAGCCTCCACAACCTGCTCGACCTCAATTCACACACGCACGCAATTCAACTTGCAGGGACCGAGCGACGACCAAAGTGTGGTGATGAAGACTACATCAAACGGCCCGAGAACACATCCTTCCTCTTCCATTGCAGATGCCGTTGGGAAAAGAACGAGGCAAGAGGCAGCTCATCATACACTACAAGTACTGTGAGTGTCTCTTCATCAGCATCTACCGCCGATTCTGACGACTACAACGAATTCGACTCGCTCTCCGCCAATAGTTCACTGTATGGCTGCCCGTTAGGATATCTGCACACGACGTGCAGTAGCGTGCGCGAAGTGGAGATGGCAGACTTTGGTGATTTTGAGATGGGTGATGCGGTGTGCTTGCAAGGACGGGTCAACCGCAGATGCAGTCATAACCGTTGAGCCTCTCAATGCCCTCGCTTTCGGGTGGTCCGTCTGGATCTGGTCAAGGGATGGGCCTGGCAATCGACACCCGTAATGCACTCGTTCGCTGCTCGAGTCTGGTCCGATCCCAACCTCTACCTACTCGTATTCGCATCACAGCAGACACGGACACTCTCACTCACTCTCTGCACAAATCTTGATGCAGGCTGCACTATGTATGTGTTTCGGTTTATTTTCCTTAATTATTGTAGATAATGATGTATCGTACAAATATTTTAATATAATTGATTTTTGTTATTTTAATAATGAATGGATGTAAGGGGAAATTATTATTATTAAGAAATAATAACTATGTATAGTCTCTGTAAAACATTACAAACATGTATTACCCTTTCAAAACTTGGTAATCCTTACAATACATTTCAAAAAAGGGAGGTCCGATATTATGCATTTTATATGTTTAAAAGGGGTATTACCCTTATGTACTTTTATTACATTCATAAACCTTACAGTACCTTATACAAAGTTATACTACTTTATCAGAAATCGAGGTCCGATAATATGTAAATTACTTTTTTTACT